ACTTTGGTCAACATCATCACCAATCTAGTATAACCACTGAAATGTTTCATTATTACTTTGGTCAACATCATCATCAATCTAGTATAACCACTGAAATGTTTCATCATTACTTTGGTAAATATCATCACCAATCTGGTATAACCACTGAAATGTTTCATCATTACTTTAGTCAACATCATCACCAATCTGGTATAACCACTGAAATGTTTCATTATTACTTTGGTCAACATCATCACCAATCTCGTCTTCGAATAAAAAAACTAAGAAGTGTATTCCAGGTCGCTCTTCTGGTTCACTCAATTTATCTGATGAAAATATGCTAACTTTAAACAATCCTACCATCTAATGATTTAACGCTAAGTTTATCACATGTTATATTACACATACAAGTCCGAGATTAGCTCACGCCATTACTGTGTACGGCACAGAGTTATTGTGAAGAAAGTTTCACAGTTCAGTGCGTCATATCACACAAATGGTATAGCATAAGAAGGTGAAACTGGACAGCAGTAATAAAGATATCATGAAGATAAAAGTTGTCACATGTTATCGTCAGGGGTGCTACAATAATTAATGTCAAATCAATCACAGCTTTTATTCAAAATGTGCTCTTCCAATATCCAGAATTCATTGTAACCATGTGAAAATGGACATCACATTTACAACGTGCATCCTATTTGGTATACTGGCCACTTTCTGGACATTTGCATCCCTCAGGTCTGGAATTGTGCGAAGCTTCCCATTTTACACACGTGACTTCAGATATTCCCACGACCAGAAATTGATTGGTGTTAGGTCCATTGAAAGAATTGACTGACAAGCCCATTTATAACCATGGAAAATATGCAAAAGAAACCACAGTTGCGCCTCTAGTGGCAAAATGTGAAAACTATGACATTTGCTCCTGCAAGTTACCCTTAACATTTCAGATGCCTATGCCATACTGTTTGTGAGATCAGACTCACTGAGATCCGAAACTTTCTTTATAATCACTATATATTTAAAAACAGGCTTAATATTGCAGTATACAATCAACAAATTTTGGCAGTATGGAGATCAAACCGCCACCAAAAGGAATATAAGAGGCAATAATAGTACGAAATAACAGTGAAAATTTCGAGAAGGAATTGGCTCGTATGTGCTACAATATTCGTTTTTTTAAACGTCAATCAACTTCATAATTTTTTTTGTCTATATAACTTCTATTTCCATTTTGTGTAATTAGTTGTTCATTAGCAACGGTAGCCGATCCTCAAAAATAACTGATTACCCATTTAATTACTACCGATACCACGACTTGACACTAAACTTTTAATGAAATAAAGTCGACCTCAACATAAGATTGATTTCAAAAATCAGAATTAGTAACTTAATATGCTTTTTTTGTTGGTTTGTTTTAGCGCAAAGCTGCATCACGAGGAGTCGAACCCCGGACTCACTGGGAGACAAATGTGTGACTCTCAGTAACATAGTGTATTCTTCCAGAACTGTAATCTACTACTAGGTGGACTTAATCTTTTAGACTCGATTTCCTAATTCTCTTTCATTTTTATGACACACTATTCTGCTCAGCATAATGACAAATAAAAAAAAAAAAAAACTGTACGTAATTTTGTGAAACTATCTAATAGTGATTAAAATAAAACAAAAACATAATTTTATATTTAATATAATCAATATTTCCTTCCATTTAACTCACTGTCACATATTTAATTAATTAGGTTTGAAGGCTTATAACTCTAAAAACCGACTTTCGATACCCGTGGTGAGCACATTGTGTAGCTTTGCGCTTAACAACAACAAAATAATTAGGAAATATTATGTGACAAGTTTCTTATTTTTAATGAAGACGACAGGCAGTAGAATAAATTAGAGTAATAAGTATGAGAAGCACTAGGCTTACTTTAAGTTCAAGATTTAAATAGTTCCAGTAAGGTGTCCTTACGTCTAAAAAAAAAAAAAGAGTATTTTTCATAGCGTTGTTGTAGAGATTTTTAGCGATCCGCTCACCGAGTGGGATCGAACTTCAAGTTTTGGCACTATAATGCTTACAAGTCCGGAAATTTATCGCCGACTTACCAGATGACGTGCATAACAAAACCAGAAGGGGGTGGGGTAATCAAAGCTGATCTCGAATTATTGTAAGTTTTAAGTATATTTGACTGAAGTCACCGAAACACTTGAAAATGATAAAGGAAGAAAAATACCACATGATAAATCGGATGTTTGAAAATCCTTAAGACTGTTGACTGAACGAAACGGCTAACTAAGAGAAATATGTTCTGTGATGAAAGTAACAACTTGGTAAAATTACTGGGTTGGTAAATTTCACGTAAATGTTTAGATGCCTAGTATTCAGTTATAGTAACAATGCATAAACTTATTAAATAAGTTATTAATTAAGCCTAAACTATCATTTTATATATATCTATTTATTTCGCAGGAGTTAACTTTACACATCACAGATTTTTATCTTTATTAAATGAATAAAAAATATTCGTAGCATGTTTAAATATACCTGTGCTTGATAGCATGTGTTCATATTGGGAACAATACATGCATATAAAGTTAGTTGTGTGTGCTGTGTGGGTGGTTATTAAATAAGATATCAAGAGCAAGTGTTCCCAAATAGATTGATATTTTATTTTCTACATTTTAACCTTTAAATTAAAAACAACCAAAACCAGGGACCTAAGTTCCCTTGACCTCCAAAAGTTTCCCCACCTCTTAGTGAAACCGAAATGGCGCTACTGATGGCGAAACTACCAGATAGAACTTCCATTCGTAAATATCGTATATTGTGAGATAAAGAAAGGAAATTTATGGATACGTACGGTGGCTACAATTCGCCTCGTACAACCATCTGTGTGAAGATACTCGATGGAAATATAACAGAATAGAAATAAAAACAAACACACCGACTGATTATTTTTCTTAGCTCTAAACTCTGTTACATTAGTTAAACTCAGACTTGCTTCGTGGTTTATCCTACTCAGTCCTCCTGTTATAAGCGGGCCTACCTTTGAAGAAATCAGATCATCCGAGAATACCACAAGATTTAACACTGATGATGTACTGTAGTTATGGAGGGTGGAGCAGTGGCAGTATAGTACACGAGTTTACTAAGGCAAAAATGATCTGAAATTTAGAAACTGTTTTCTACGAAGAAAACGATACTCGTTAAAAACATAGATTAAGTATTAATACACTCAAGACTTCGAAATATCAGTTGAACATTTCAATACTAATTTACGTTAAGCCTTACATATTTGATTAGCTGAAGATTAGTCCTTATTGCTAAGACGTTGGCCCTTTTGTAGAGCTCTAAGTTTTGGAGCTGGCGAGTTGGGTTGAAATTCGTACGATACTACAAAGTATTCCCTGCACTTTAAGCCATGGGTGCATTATAAGAGTGTCAGTCAATCTCTTAGTGTGAATGATGAGTGGTAGGGTGTTACTGACTGGCCGCCATCTTTGGCAGATAGCTTTAGTAGCTTTGCCATAAATACAAATCACAAAGGTTGTCTACTGAGCCCGAAAAGCATAATCAGACTAACCACAGCATTCCAAGCGGCAAGTTTGGTAGAAAGCAGCTGTGCTTAATATCACCGACATTTCTTAATTGTGAGAAGTGAAAAAATTAACCACGTGTAGAGCAGAAAATTGTCTCAAAAATTTAGTCCCCCTAGCCATTCTTTACGTAATGGTAAGGTTGCGTCATGCGCGAAAAACATTAAATTTCTGATTCTGTATGCTGTCCTGGCAAAAAAACACACACACACACAAAACGGAATGCTGAGATTTTGAAGTTAAAGCATGTGCTTTAGTTAATTTTGTCTCAACAATTTTTCAATTTAATCACTTGTTTTTAATCGTACGTGTTAATATTGACCAATATTCTGTTATGTAAGCCTATTTTATAAACTTCAACAGAAGATATTTGACATAATATGGAATAATACGTGTGTTTACTGCAAACAATTTCAACTACCTGGATATAAGTCTCTTTCTATGTTGTGTTAAATCATTATATTACAGGATTCAACTACCCGAATATAAAACTCTTCCTGTATTGTGTTAAATTACAGGAATTCATATTTACCATTAAATGTGGCCACTTATTCGAACTATTACTCAGTAATTTGAACTTATTTAATTACTACATAAATATGAGATTATTTTACTCGCTGATACGATTTTATATTAAAAAAAAAGACGAAGAAAAAATAATTATTTCTAAGTGTAAGCTATGAACTCCTGAACATGTGATAAAGTATGCAGTATGGGTATTATCTAATAAGCCACCAGATGGCGCAGTTTACATTACATTACACTTGTAGAGATAGGGAGTTGGCCGTTTTACCTACGAATATCGAAAAGTAAATAAGATTTGCAAGCAACACCAAAAACATTATCAGATATTTTAAAAAGTGTTTCGGTAAACTATTCACTGTTAAAACTAGAAATAAAATACCATATTAAAAAACTTTCAATTATCTGATGAGTTGCGATTATAACATACATGAAACGTTCTTAAATAATAATCTAAAACAATGTTTCAACGTATAAAAAAGGTGGATATAAATGTATTTAATGAGGTTGTTTTGTTAATTAATTCCAATAAAATTGCATTTTAACTTCGATTTTTAGATAAACCCGATTCAGTGTATTCAGTATATTGAGGCGTACCTGTTCCTCAGTATAATACGGAGAGTTTATATAATTTAAACATTGGAAAATATAATTCATATCAAGACAAAGTATTTCATTTTGATTTTTACTGATAATCTTTATTTATTATCAGATCTTGTTAAATGACAGTTTAGTTTGAAAACACAATTTGGAATGAAATAATCTTGCAATAATATTATTTAATAATATTCCAATATTGCTACAAAGTGCTTCGGAAATTTATACTAAGTAAAGTAATAAAATAGTATTAGAATGATTCATAATTATAACAAATAAATTAAGCACATTCTTAATTGATTAAGCTCAAACTCTGGATGTGAAAATAATTTTATAATAACTAAACCATTAGTTAATCTTCAATCAAAAATAACCAAAAGCTGATATTTTTCTTATATTGTGATGGAATGATTAAGTTTTATTAGACAATGGAGACAGTAAATTGTATCAAAGTATGTTATTTGAGAAATTAGATTAACATTAGAATATTAATGAGATTATATTCAACATTTCAATAGAGAAGGAATTTTTATTATCAAAATAACATTTCAAAATGTTTACGGAGTTTCAAAGTTCTTTTAACTCACCATTTAGTAACCTAAATTAACTTATGTATGTGAAAAATATTGCGGCATTGTGTCAGATGAAAATAAATCGGTAATATGAATATTTTTTTCAAGTTAAAGAATTTTACAGTCGTATTATCTGTATTGAGAAGAGTTCAAGCATCATTCATAAAGAGTTTATGAGCCCTCACAAAAAGTATGATTATTGTGAAGAATTACGTTCTTATTGGATATCTAAAGAACTACTTTATTAGACATATATTCTGATTGGAAGCTGGAACTTACATCCTTTAAAAATCGCTTACAAAGTAAAGCTACCAGATTATATCGCTTCAACAGAACAACGTAGATATTTTGTTAACAAGTAACACATCTTATTTACAAACAACAGTTCTTTAAAAAACAAACTAGGTGTCCAATTGTTATATAACTATGATTATTCAAATATTCCGCCACCAATGATGAGATTGTTTATAACACAAAGAACTTGTTATCAATTGTCTTTGTTTTAATAAACAAAAATCAGAATAGACGACGCATTTATTATCATACTTATGAAATATTTGTAAAATATTACGAAATTAATAGAAATCTCCTTTGGCATTTCCAAGATTGGAAATTGTCATGCTTCGAAGGCTTCGACACCTTTCGAACATAGATGGATCAGTATAGATGGGTTCGCTGGGATCTTCAAACTTAGGAGCTTGAAACTGTGATATATAAAACTCGGTTGTACTGGGTGATGTGCTCTCAGCGTCAGACTCCTTCACCTGCAAGGAAATACAATGATAGTTGAATCAGTTGATATCCATATAGATTTTATACCATTGATAGCAGGAAATAATTAAATAAGTGGTCTGTAGAATTCAATATGATCTCAAGATATACTGAAGCCTAAAGAAGCAATTCAAATAAAAAGAGGTTCCGAAAGAGAGTCCAGTTATTTTAATTTATTAATGTTTTTTAAATACTTTAATTTCATATTGTTTGAGAAACTTTCGTGTTTATCTTCCTCCGAGTTTGACCGGTTTTGTTTTAAGTTAAGCACAAAACTAAACAAGGGGCTACATGTTCTGTGCCCCCACCCCAGGTATCGGAACCCGATTTTTGGCGTATAAGTCCATAGAATTACCGCTGAGCCACTGGGAAGAAATTTGACCATACGTGAACTCTTACATACATTGTTACAATTAATACGTTGGATTAAGATCATTATCATAATGGGTGAATTATGAAAATAAAAATTTTAAAAGCACGTTTGCAGATGACCTAATTAAAATAACTAAAATTACGTCACTGATTTAATCTAGACCTAACTTCTTGTACTTCACAATTCCACCACCAACAACAACAAAAAATCTTAGTAACTTTAAGGTTTCTTTATATTCTATTTCATTATGTATGCAAGGAATGAAATAATTTTAGCCTAAATGATGAGCCTTGATATTGTTAACTGAAAACAAAACAACTGTGCTGGTGATAAATTACATATGATTTTATTAATGTTGGAAAGCTTCTCTTACCATCACCTTCATTCTTCGGATGTAAGACACGGTTGCCACAGCTACAGCGATGATGATAAAAACCAAGAGTGCGACTATAAACATCAGAGTATAGTAGCCTCCTTTATGGACACAGACCACTGATCTTTCATGAGCTGTTGAACAAAATGATTAATATCATTAATGTGTCTGTGATTAACACTCATGTTAAAATTCCTGGGTTATTAGTCACATATTAAAGTTCTATATGTGATTAAAGTAAGTACTTTCTGGAATAGCATATTTTTCTACCTAAAGAAATGATGTAGCTTAATAAAACAGTAACATAAAACAGAAAACTTCGGTACCATTATTTCAGGGCTTAATATACACTTGATGTTGTTTTAATAATAATACATTTAGATAAAGAAATACTTTGATGGCACGAGTAATTTTTTGTTAATTTAAAAAAGGGTGGGTCAACGATAAGTTTCAGACGTTACAATGCTAAGATTCGGGATTCGATTCCCCGCTGTGGTTTTGTTTGAAGTTAAACACAAAGCTACACAATGGGCTATCTGTGCTCTGCCCACCACGGGTATCGAAACCGGATTTCTAGCGTTGTAAGTTCGTAGACATACCGCTGCGCCACTGAGGGGCCCCCGCGGTGGACAGAGCGCAGATAGCCCATTATGAAGTTCTACGCTAAACAACAAATACTTTTAAATTTCTTGACTATAAAGCACCCTCTACTCACGAAGCCCTTTAGATTCCAAAGGTATATCTGCTCGGGACAGATATACTTTCAATAGCTCGTGAACTTCCTCTTCGTGGTCAGTATCGTCCGTAGAATTAGATGGCGCTGCTGGCGTGCTCCCGACGATGGAAGGAAGTGGCGATTTCAGTGGAGGTGAGACGGCAGATGAAACTGCTCTTTTCTTTCGACCCCAGGATGGAAATGACCCTGGCCGACCCCCATCACTGCATATTACCTGTGTGTTTCGTATACGTCACTTGATTAAGTTCAGTAAATCATATTACAGGTATAGCACATTATACTTTCATATCGTGTTTCATTTAATAAAAGGCTTCTCTGACTAAAGAGTTGTATTTAATAATATGAATGAGTCACTAGAGTAGTTCCTGTGAATTATTTAAATATATTTTTTTATGACAGTTATTTTCATCTCATATTCGATGTAGTACTTCTGTATCGTTTAGTTGCTAACACTTTGTATTTTCTCTGGTATATACATAATTATCGACATGTTCTTTGGAAGCGATATACATAACCTTTGTTCACTGTTTCAAACTACTTTTAATATAAAGTTCTAAATGCTGTATATAGCTTTAAAAAATGTTTGGAATTATTACTGGATCACACGGTCCTCGGCAAGTGCGGACGGTAGCTTGGAAAACTAGCAAGTTGGAACCTGGAATTTTGAAAGCGTAGAAATCGGCTTCTAGCGCCCCTTCAGGTGTTCGGTGAAGCTCTGGAAAGACGTATAGGTCGATAGGGCATCTAGAGTGAATAATAAAAATAAGTAAAATAGCAAGTTTTTTTCTGTAGCAGCTAGAACTCCTTAAATTCACTGATGGTTATGAGACGTTATGTTAATTAAGAGCCAAATGTTGTATTAGTGAGTATACAGTGTCTTTCAAAATAATTATGTTAACAAATGTATTAATGTTTTTCCTGGTAGCTCAATGGGAAGTCTGAGGGTTTATAACTTTAAAAAACGATACCCATAGTTGGCAGAGCACAGATTGCCCATTGTGTAACAAAAAACATAAACCTTCGGAACGTGCGAAGCATCAAAACTCGCGCACTCCGCGTGTCCAACAACAAAACTTTGCGCAACTGACAACAGCAATGCACTTCAATACTATAAATAGTTTCAGAAACACGGGTAAGCAGATCTGTTACCATAATTTCCAGACATCCTATATCATAACTTAACAGTTTGTTGTTGTTGTTGTTTTCTTTGGTGGGGAGGGAGTTGGGATTGTTGACTCAAAAACCTTGTGATATGTTACGACAGTTTAGATATTCAACAAGTGCTAATTTAATATATCTTAACTGCAGCACAAAAGTTCCACTTCTTACGGGTATTAAAACTTGTGATTTAAAAATAACTGACAACAGCAATGTTCAGACAATCAACAAAAACCTTAATGGCAACTCTTTATATTTTACAATGACGTTCTAACTTCTCTCTTCACAATAATATTTGATCTTATCCACTTCTATACAGTCACTACCAATTTATTGAGAAGCTTGCTTACAGTATCACAATTACTGTTATTTGAAAACTACTTTCAGAACGTACTGTTACTGTCCTGAGAACTAGGCTTAACTACACCAAACAATAACAACAACTATCGATCAAACTTAGAATTAATAATTACAAATAATAATCAACAATTATTTATAACTCAGTACAACGTGATATCTTGGTTATGTGGTTCTTGCTGTATGACTGGATGTTGTCTGTTCAGATGGTTCATTAATTATATAATATTGTCTGTAGTTTGTGTGGCCATATTACAAAAGTGTCACCAACGTATCTGGGCCAAATCCTAGGTCTTAGATCACTTGTCCGAAGTGTTTCATGTGGAGGTTAACGAGCACTGGTGATAAAGGTGACTCCATAACTAGACCTACTTGTTGTTCATAGTATTTTATTCATGTCTGAAACTGTGTTGATACAACATACCGTAATTTCTATAAATGTGGAACTATTAACTGAGTATTTTCAGTTTGTCAAGGACTGATATCAAAAATGTGAGGTTATTGAAACGTTAGAGAGTAGGTAGACATATAGAAACTGATCATTCTTTCCTTTGAAGTTATTGTGGTTATTTTTATAATATCCCCAAAGTGAGGCCTGGCATGACTTGACTCGCAATCTGAGGGTCGCGGGTTCGAATCCTTTTAGTCGTGGGGGTGTTTAAATGTTGAATATACAAGACTGTTAGTGTAAGAGTTGTTATTTAGTTCATTTCGTGTTTTAATATTTAGTGATTATTTATTTTTCATAACAAGAGTGTTTAAAGTTAATTATTTTAAAGGTGATAGTTATGACAAATTTCGTTACTTAAGTCGGTAAGAGTCATACCTTCTGTGTGTAGTTCAATTGTTGTAAATTGACGTCATGTTACTCGAACCTTCTGCATTTTTCTCGTTGCTTAAGTGAGTATTGTTACACTATATCGTCTCGTAGTATGTAAAAAGTTCTAGGTCTCAGTTGGTCAATGTATATATATGTATAGGCGACCAAGTGAGTGCAAGTTAAGTTAGTGAAAGTGAAGTTAAACGGGTGATACTTAAAGTGAGTTTCACATTGGTATTGTAATAACAGAGATAAAGAATAATTTCTTTTGAATTTAAAGTCAATACACTATATGCAGATGCGTTTATTACTGTCAATGCATTGACGAAATAAAACGTTTGCTGTAACACTTCTCCACAAATCTACCATGCTACCAGCTAGATAACTAATTGGCTCAAGCAGTAAATATAAACACACCTCCAGTGTCCGAGACAGGCCCGCAGATAGGGAGGGGCAACTGCCCAGGGGC